CCAAAAAAAAAAAAAAAATAGAAGAGAAAAAGAAATTATCTTTCCTTTTCTCAAGTTAAATCTAGAATGCGTTTCGATTACGTTACACTATAAACAAACAATGACGTCAGCGGTATCAATATTCGCAGCAGCTTTAGATCCAAAGCGACCCGCCGCGTCTCTGGTGGCGCCGCCGTCGTCCTGTGGGTGTTGGTGGCCGCCGCCGGCGCCGCCGTCGTGGGCAGGCGGCGGGTAGTAGTACAATCGCGCAGTGTGGGGGCAGTGAGAATGAAATCTGCTGGCGATCCTCACACCTCTCTCCAAAAGCTCCATATACTTGCTCATCTCTCTCTTCGCAAGGTGAAGAAAAAAAATTGGAAAGTGAAAAAAGGAAAAAAATTATTGTAAATTTAATTTGGGGATGAGAAATCGAAAGTCCATAATCTTGGGAAAATATCGGCATACTTTCTCTAATAATTATATAACCAAACATTTACACGGGTGGGTGTTGAATTAGGAAACATATGTTAAAAATATTAATTTTTTTAAACTAAAATAATTTAATTTTATATAAAACAGTATTTTGAGTTTTAATTAAATTGTCAAATTATATTTTTTTAATCATAATAATTAAACACCCGTATATTAAATGAAAATGTCAATTCATATTGAATTTTTTTTACTTATATCGTATAAAATTATCGATATTATTTACTATTATTAAGTAAAAAAATATATATCTTAAATAAATAGAAATAATATGGTGATATGTATATGCATAAGTGCAGAAATATGTTTGTTTAATATTAAGCAAAATAGATTAATTTTTTACTTAATTAGATTCCAAATATATCAAGTGTAGTATCCGTTGTGCTTCACAGTTTTCTACCTTTATATGTAATTTTAGAATTTAGATAAATAATTATTTATTTTTATTAGAAGAAACAACATTTATAATAACTAATGAATGAATTAAATAGCAGATATTTTCCAGCAGTTTTTCTCTCTCTAAAAAACCCTTCCCCCAAATCGTTTTTTTTTTCGGTCTCCCCCAAATCGTCAATTTCCTTGCCTTCCCCGGCGAACAGCCGGCCTCTTGCCGGTGGAGGACCCGAAGCTGCGCCCCCATGGCCCGATTTGTGCGTTTCCTTTTCGATTCTCGCCTTTCGGAGATGAGTTCTGTTTCGTCGGACGGGGCTGTTCTACTGGAGGTCGCCGTTCGAGATTTTCTTTGCATCGTCGGTGGATTCTCGGGAGTCCTTGTCGATTCCGCCTTTGTACGGCTACCGTTGACGGGTTCCACGGCTCCACTTACGATGTGGGTTAGATTCTCGGCCCTGACGGTGATTTTCCAGCTTTCTTATGTCGGCTCTGCCTTTGGATGGTGGTCGATGGCGGGTTCGACGGCTTCTCCTCCGGTGGGTCCGATTGCTGCAGGAGGTGCGTGGTTGGATTTTGGGGGCGGCCCTGGCGGCTCGGCTCGTCTGAGTTGTGGTGGCCGGGGGCTGAGGAGTTTCTTTTCTTGACCTCGGGTTCCCTTTCCGCTGGTGTTGCGGTTTCGGGATGCCGGTATGCCTGAGCCTAGGCCAGTGGTGTTGGCCGGGTCTCGGGTTGCTGGCCTGTGGAGGGCGGGTTGATTCTCCTCGAGTTCCGGGTCGGCTTCATTCTTGGAGTGGTTCGAGGTTCGGGACTTGTTCCTTGCTAGGCATTAGGCAGTGGCGGGAGTTGCGTTCCGGATTTTGGGTCAAGCTGTAGGATGTTAGTCTTTTTCGCTGGTGCTTTAGGCCGGTTTTCGTTTTTTGCTGGGGAAGGGCCTTATTCGTTAGTAGTATAGGTTTTCTTATTCATGTTTTGTGTCTGTTTCTGTATTTGTGGCTGTATTTGTATTTTAGGTTTGGGCCGTTGGCCTCGGTTTACTTGAGTGTGACTCTATTATCCCTTTGGGATCCCACACTCGGGCATTACTCTGTTGGGGTCTTTTTATTTTGTTTTAGTTTTAGTTTGTGTTTGGTAGTCGTGCAATCGGTTATTTTAGTTTCGAGTATTTTTATTCTAGCGTTGCTAGTCGGGCGTCTAGGCGGTCTTCTGACCTGTCCTCTCACTTTTTCAGCTGTTGGCTGCTGTGTATTCAGTCGTTGGCTGCTGTATTTTCGCACATTTGTGCATTTTGATTTATAATATCTTCTATCGTTTTGGCAAAAAAAAAAATGAATGAATTAAATAAGAAAATGAAATGTAATGTATGGTAATATAGGAAAAAGAAATATAAAATTATTTATGGTAACTAATTGTAGAAGTAAAGAAGAAAAAAATCAATCATGGATTTAGTGTGATAAAAAATAATAATTTATATTCACGCCTAACTCCAAAGCATGGTGTTTTTGCCAAATGTGATTACGGAGCTTGAGAGTTTGTCATGTAGGCTCAACATACTCTCAAATTATATATAGAGCGGATATATACATTAATTATTTGCATATATATGTTTACATATTAGAGCACGTAAAAAATATTCATTCTTATAATAATTTTATTAATATTTGTATTAATTTTAGTGATACATGTTTATAATAATCTATAAATTAATTTTTGTTTATTCAAAAGCCTAAAATAAACATGAAAACATATTTTAAGTTTTAGTATTATTTTTTTTCACAAATATCGAATTTTATCTTAAAATTTATGGAAAATAGTAATAAGTTAGGTAAACTTTGTCATTCCAATTAATATAGCGAAATCAAGTTGGTGAATTTATCTTTGCTAATATATTTTTTTTCTTAAGTTTTATTTAATTATAAAAAAAATTCAAATTAATATAATTTACCATTTAAGAGATAATGACCAGATGAATTAAATAGTTTTACTAATGGGCAGATAATGAAATTAAAATATATTATCTATTATTTTGAATTTCAACATGTGGTTTATTTGTATATTATTAGGAATAAATATTTTATCATTTTTTTTTTATTTTGATTTCTATCCATAGTGAAATTATTGTAAAATATATTTTCATTACATAGTATGTCAAATAATGTATAAAGTATTAAAATTCAAATTAGAAAAATATCTTGATTATAGAAATGATTTATTTTTTGACAGTTCCTAGATCAAGTTATTTAATTATTACAAAAATAAATTCTAATGAATAATGACAAAAAAAATTTAGGATGACTACTGGATTAATTGGTTAATTAACATAAATAAATATAGAATATGACCAAAACGCTTAATTTTTTTTATAAATTAATTGTTATTGAGGACATATTATATATATATATTATTTATATTTTTTTAATTATAATGAGATGCGATAAATACCAAAAATTTTATAGAATCACATGTGCGTATATTTAGTAAAACATTTATACAAAATATTTTATTTTAAATCTATTTACATAATATCAAATTAATTACATTAATAATTAATATTAACGTACATTGCATATTTTTTATTCCAAAAAGAGAAAAAAGTAGATTATTTAAGTAACTTTTATAAATAATAATAATAAAATTATATTACAACACATTTCAGAATAAAATAATAATTGAGCGCTACATGGTAAAGAAGAATAAGACTGTTATTTTTTTCTTATATAAAAAAGTAAATATATATATAATAAAATCAAATTATGTTAGTATAAACATGTTATTGGGATAATATATTAATTAGTCTATATGCTAGCCCTAACAGATTCAGGTGTAACATTCTGGCTGACAAAACATTGATCAAAAGAGATAGAAAATGGATGATTCAATCCTATTTTTTGGAATCTAACGAGAAGACTGTGTGAATGACTCTTGTGCATAAAATGGACTGTGTAGTAGATGAGAAAAAAACATATTTTTGCTAATGTCATTGTACAATAATGCTAAGGAGTCAACAACCAATGGGACAGCTCCATGCCGCATGGAGCTGTCCCATTGGTTGTTGACTCCTTAGCATTATTGTACAATGACATTAGCAAAAATATGTTTTTTTCTCATCTACTAGGAACAATAGAGAATTTTATAGATCAAAACGCATATTATTTCTGAAATGATAAATTATATTAAGAATACTCACATTAATTGGGCCTACCAAAAATAAAAAATCAAGTAGACCCCAAGAATACTCACATTAATTGGGCCTACCAAAAATAAAAAAATCAAGTGGACCCCACTCCATGTTAGTGTTATGTAAACCTCTATATACATTTATTATGTAGTTGTAGCATTTTTCTTATATTAATTTCAAGAATTATTTATTTTTTTATATAGTTAAATAAAGCTTAAAAAATATTATTGACAAATCAAAGATTAATAAAATTATTCAAAGAAATAATCTTTTTGATCATATCCGATTTGATCTGATTTGAAAACGTGTATATGTAAACAATTAATATATACATTTAAAAAGTTTTCAAAGAAAGTATGTATTAAATGTATCTGAAAATTTTCTTTTAACCTACTATAATAACCAAATCCCACCATACGATAAACTTCAAAAACCAGACTGGAAAGTGGACAAATACATGTCAGAAGTACAACTTTCCTCATACCAAAAATGCTACAAGTACATAATAATTGTACATAGAGGTGTACATAACACTCACATGGAGTGGGGTCCACTTGATTTTTTATTTTTGGTCGGTCTCACTCAATGTGAGTGTTATGTACACCCCTATGTACAATATTATGTACCTATACTATCTAGGACTAAACATTTGGGTCAAGCACGAATACTTACCTTATCGAGAGACTCGAAAGGCAGTTATTCCCGTTATATTTTAGATTCACACCCGTAATCTGAACATTCTATCAACTTCCTCTCCTTCAAACTTTCAATGGTATCTTTCAGGCTCTGCTCAAGAGACATAAAATTGATACCCAAAGATTCTGCTTTCGCACGGGAAACTTGAAACCGTTGTATATCCCGTTGATCCACTTGTGAACTGCAATTGGAAAAAAGAAAAATAAAAAAATGTGAACTTATAATTGGATGTACTAAGCTGCACAAAGTTCATCTGTTTTCCAATTCATTAGCAGTCAAGAATTCGCAAAAATTACAAAGAAAATATACAAGCGCAATGATGTATATATTATGGTCGGGCAAGCCTGAATTACCTCTTGGATAGATCAAGAGTCGGGTAGAGTTCACGCAAGACACCCAAAACTTCCGAGTTATAAACCACATTTGCAACAAGACAGTATCTACCGTTAGACGAAGGATTCTCAAAAGCTAGCACATGTGCTTTGGCGACATCCCTAACATCAACGAACAAGAAAATGCCACTTGGCGTTGTCATGCTCTTCCCTGAAACGAGTAAATTAGAATGGTGGTGATTTTTTATTCTTTTCATTTATTTGCTACTAATAAATGTCTTAAGAAACAACAACAAATTACATGAGTCACGAATAATTGACCGATAATTAGAATTTGAAGCTGTTTTGGGATATACCTTCTCTTATAAGGTCGAGAAAAGCTCGGGTGGTAAGATTTAGAGTTGGCTGCAAGAGAGGACCCGTCACCAAGCCAGGATTCATCACTAACAAATCGATACCATTTTGGTCTGCAAACTCAATCGCAGCTTTTTCCGCCAGTGTTTTCGAGAGAATGTACCATTCCTGAGAGTGAATTCTTATTTTACTTTTTTCAATTTCCAAAGAAAATGTAAGATATCTTCAAAACAGTATGAAACCACTCATGGTTCATGCAACTAACAAGATGAAAGCAAAAAAGTCCCACTGCCGGATATCCTTATATGTTCAATTAAATAATCATGAATTTTAATAATAGTTATACAAACAATCAGAAAAGAGAAAAATGATGAGTTAACTTATAATTTCTGAGCATTGCATCTGAAGCTCAACAATATTGTATTAACAAATGGAAATTTATCAAACATTTAGGGCTTGTGGATATAAAAACTTTCAATTCATATCAATCCATACTCAAAAATCAAAATCAACTTTAACTCAACCTAACTATTCTCAATATTATCAATATAATTAAATAATATCACCCAATCATTTTTATACATCGCATCTACTCTAATTCACTATTCATCCACTCACATAATTTTAAGTGACCATCACTCCATACTATCTATATCCTACTTTTACATCAAATAAATTTAAATTATATTATTTTATTTTAAATATTATTTTAATATAAATTCAAAATCCTACTAACAATTAATCATACCACTTTTTTTTTTCCGAATTAACCCTAGTTAACACCTTACCAGCTGCTATATACAAAACAATATATAAATGCTAACTAGCGCCTCATTCTAACCAAAACAATTTGCAAATCTAAATCATATGAACCTCTAAAATTAGGGGGGAAATGTGAAATAAAAAGAATATGAAAGCATTAACAGGAAAAATCTCAAGCAGTTTCAAACACATACATGAATACACCAACCTTATTTTCCTCGACAAATTCAGGATCGGAAAAATAAGTTTCATCAACCAAGGTCTCGGTTGTTTTACGTTTTCGTTCAACAAAAACAGAAGCCATCGATGATGTTAACACCACTCGTTTGACGGTCGGCGCCTTGAGACACGAACTAAGAACGTTAAGAGTTCCCTTCACTGCAGGGTCTATAAGTTCCTTCTGTAGAACAAATCAAATTGTACTTCAAGTCTATGGAAAATCAATGTATTTAACAAGGATTTGAATTAGAGTGAACCCACCTGTGGGTTGATAATATCACCCAGCATGACAGGGGATGCAGAGTGAAAGACGCCATCACAACCGTCGATTGCCGAATCGAACGATCCTTTTTCGAGTAAGTCAGCTTGGAATAATTTAAGCCTTTCTTTAGCTCCTTGGAGTGCTTTCAAGTGCTCAATCTTGCTCGGGTCACCTGTTCAAAGTAATTCCCAATTTCTACTTGATAAATCAAAAATCTCGTTTTAAGAAGAAAGAAGATGCTCATAAGCAAAAAAAAAAAAAAAAGAAAAAAGAAAAAAGGGGGTTTGCAAAAGAAATTAAATACTGACTGAGGTTGCGGACGGTGGCGTTAACGGTGTAACCATTGTGAAGCAAAAGCTTGACCAGCCATGAGGCAATATAACCCGAAGCTCCTGTAACGCAAACTAATTTTCCCATTTTGTTCTGAATTCCGTGTGGTCTGAGTCTAACCTGTGATATCTATGTACTTATCGGATGACCTCACAATATTGAACGGTGGTGAGGGACGGTTGTAGAGAAGAAATTCATTTTCCAAAAGACCCAAATTTTGAACCAAAATGTATTAGTTGGATGAGTTCAAAAAATCTCAACCAATTATATTATATTTTTATTAAATATTATCATTGTGGATATTGTTTTCGCGATTTTAAATTTTTAATGGTTTCACTATGACATCAAAATTAATTAGTTTATTTTATTTTTTATTTTGTAAACGAAATGCTTAATAAGATAAAAAAAAAATGTATTGATTTTAGTATAAAAAGTTTGAAGAAAATTGTTGCAATGTAGTTTTTTATACTTATATAATTTACATATATCGTTTAGTGTTGTGAGCTATAATTAAATAGTTTTAATAGCAACTATTATATGAAGTAATAGTTTAAAAAATATGATTACACATTTTCTCAAAATGGTAAAATTTTTTTTAAAAAAAATCATAATAATACAACCGGCAATCCAAATGGTCTACTTTCATCACTGTCCCAGCATAGCATAAAAAGAAAGAGAAAGGGGGTAAATTCTATCCTACCGGTGAGGGCACTGCCCTCACCGGCTTATGGCCAACACGTGTCTTCTCTTTTGTTTTATTTTTATTTTTTATTTTCTTAAAACAAAGGCACAAATCTTTAACTACACACAAAACATTAAAACTCGTAGGATAATGAAACTAGATTCGTCCAAATTACTTGACTTGTCAAAACGAACTTAAGCCTGCGCCTTCCAAAGGATAGGATAGGCCGACCTGAGGTTTTTGAGGTCTGCTTCACTCAACTTGATTAGACAAAAAAGTGAATCATACCATCTATACCTGAAGTTTTATTGGTATGTATTTCCATGAGGGCTCTTTTGATTTATTCATCATGCACAGGCTGTGTCAAAGTTTCGTTCATGTGCTTAGTGATGACCCAATGAATTTCTTCAAAATGATTCGTTCCCAGTTTAATTGCTAGAATGACCTCCACATATTTAAAATCTAACATTAATTTAATTACTGACAATCTAATTAATCAACATTTTCATCCGAAACTAGTACCACTTAGTTCTTTATTATTATGTCGGAAACTAATCTTCCTGCAGGGCTTAATATGATAATCCTTTCTGAGTTTATTTCGGGGATATCATCAACCCGACGAATCGGGACACAGTTATCGCAAACAATCTCAACAGCACATCATGTAAACAACATTATTTACCAAATTAGCGAGTATTTCAACCTAACAAAATAGGTATCACCCTTAGTAAATAAAACAAGTTAGTGCTGAATACATATGTCTATTTATTGTCTTACGGGTTAAGATAAAGCAATAATTACTGAGGTCTAGATTATTTACTTGGTCAGTATAAAATAATTTTCTCCTCTTGTTAGTCCGCTCAATACATTCGAGATATACTGGTGTAATTTGTTAGTCAAAGATCAACTAACTCGAAATCAAACTAGAGCCTTTCACAACATATAGTTCAATTATGTCTAGGTTGTAGATAAATATTTATATTTCACAAAACACCGATAATATGATCTTTCTATTCGACTCACATCAAATCATATTATCTGCAATGTAAAATAAAGGTACTATGCTTGAATAAATAAATAAGCTGCAAGTACACATACTTGACTAAAACATGAATCTTATTCAAAATGCTATTGTCAGAAATTGAAATCCAAGCTTTTACAGATACCATAATAGGACCTTCATTAGGTATGAAACGATAGTCGACATTTTTGTGGTGGGGTGGGGGGGATGTCGAATCAGCAGTTTGTACTTTTGTCCGCTTGTGGCCGACATTTTTCTTGTTCTACTTGTCGACCGGTTTGGAGGGAGAGGCAGTGAGCGCCTTGGTTTTGGTCAAGGCAACGACGGTGGTCTTTTCGACCTCCTTCGCCTTAGTCTTCTGAGCAAGTCCCTTGTTGCGAGAGGGTTGGGCAGCTCGTTTTTTGTCCATCATGCGTTATGAAAAGACCAAAAGTTGATCAGTTAAACAAAATGATAAAGAAAAAGCTATGTGCAAACATATTAAGCTCAAATTTACCGAGCTCAGACTCAACCAAGAGAGATTGAGGCCTCGTAAAAAGACCATAATGGAATAGGAGTCGATCATCATCGAGAATGTTCAACGAAGTGACCTTATTCTCATTCTAGGAGGCGATGAGAAGGTCTAACAAGGGGTTGCGAGAAGGATTAACGATTTTAAAAGAAAAGTCTCGAGCCACGAGGTCAACGAAAAAGGAAAAGCAGAAGAAGGTCGAATATAGAAAAATCTTATGTTCCATTTGAGGACATTTGAAGGAATGTTAGATGTAAACTTGGCCTTATTTTAGAGGTAGAGTCCCTCTCTCCGATCCTTGTCCACATAGCAATAGAAAAAGGTGTAATAGCTGGG